AGACTATGATTACGGCATCCCTTTTCATAGTTCTAAAATTGTTTAGACACACATGTGAGCTATCTAAGAGAGGTGTATGATTTTGATAAAGTTTTATCAAAACAATCTAGTATCAGAAATCTGAACTTTGGTAAGAAAGTCAGCTGATTTCTGAGTACATGTCAAAGCTAGTGGGAGCATAAGTGTTATGCTAATAATCATCATGTTAGTGGGAGCATGATAATTATGACAAAGGTTGCAAGTTAGCAATGTTAATTATAGAAAACAAAAGTTTCAATTCGTGAGGTTGCAGGGGTTGAAAAAGTTGTTTTGCTATAATTAAGGGAAGGAAATTATACTTCATTTCAATTCTAAAAGCTTAGATTGAGATTTTAATCGTATTTAATCAAGGATATATATATGAATTTCATGTTGGAATGGCTCAACATAAGGAAATTCTATATATGGGTCCATTATTTGCGTTCTAAAATTCGATTATGATTACGACATCCCTTTTCATAATCTGAATTTTGAGAACTTGGCAAATTGAAATGGAAATATTATAGCAAAAGACTGGTTTAGTCTTTATGTGAGACATCATGAATCGTGTCCCATATGCTTCGGATATAGGATCGATTACATGTGCTATATTCATCCTTTCTAAAATTTTCCAAATGCCTGGGGCATTATGAAGGGAAAAGGTCTAGAATTGGATATGACTAAAATGATTAAGCAATTGTCGAGGACAATCTAAGGTTTACCAAAGATTGGTTGCTCAAGGACAGTTGGAAGTATAATGTTAATTCTGGAAGGACCATATTGACATAATCTGTAAGGAGGCAACTCTTGTTCAGAAGTGATAGTCAAAATGGAATATGGAAATGTTTCAAAGTTAGAAATTATTCAATCTGTGTAAGATTAGGAAACTTAATGAAAGAAGGATGTTTCCAAGGAGCTGATCTCCTTTGGAATGCTCTGTAATGATTGTTGTCAAGTCTTTTTGACTTCGTGCATAATCATTAAGAGGATCAATGCATATAAGTTTAGAATCTAACAGATTTCAGTAAATGGCATGAATTTGGAATTCTTGCATTTGCAGTAAGGATTTGGGACTGTGAAAAGAGGATCATTGGAGTGATGTTCAATTGATCTATTTTACAAAGTAAAGATCATAGACAAACATAGTATGCATACTTGGTGTATGGCATGACTAGTGTTTAGAAAACATAGTGTACATGCTTGGAGCATGGGACAACTATTGTTTTAAATTCAAGTATAAAGTTGATAAAACCAAAACAATGAATAATGAGTAATCAGTATGGTGATAAATAAAAGTGTTTATTTATATTCATAGGGTTTGATACCATATTTGATTCATTTATTCTTGTGTTTCACTTTGCATGTTTTGACTTCCAGAATAACTAAGTCGCTCTTCCTGAATGATTAAGTTATTCAAACCATCCACAGTCGGTCATATGTTGGAAGTAGATATGAATCAAGACTGTCATGGGTTGGTTTGTAGAGGTCCAAGTTGGTGGACAAAGTGGTGCTACAACACTCATGAGTGCTCATAAGTTCTGAGTATTGGATTCAACCCGCGCTCATTTGAATCACTTCATGGATTTTATCACGAGTGATCATGAGACGATAATATCTTATATTCTTCAAACCTAGAGATATGAGTTGTTACTATGAGTTGGTTATACATTGATTGCACGAAAACGCATTGGTAACTCGATAAAACGTGCCTTTGTGTATGAGTCAACAAGTAGTAGAACAAGCCATATGAGTCGAAGTTTATCAAATTCCTTTTACCTTCGGGATAAAAGCGATATCTGTGGGCCCCTCGATGATTTAAAGATGATACATGTGAGTGCTTGGTCAAGCCAGGACTGATTTGATTTGTTCAATCAGTCAGTCATCATGAATCGGAAATCGGGAAACAACAAATGGACAGAGAGAATGATTGATAATCCATGTCTCAATCCATATGATATCTAGAATGGAGGAATATATGATCCCTTATCTAATGGACAAGTCATTGACAAAGGTCAGAGTTCATCGACAAGGTCAGAGTTCGACAGAAGCTTTTGAGAGCTACGATTGCTGATCGGTTCCTGAAGTCATACACAATAATAGTTTTAGACTTATCCAAGTGGGAGACTGTTGGATTAATGTCTAAGTCCATAACTATAATTGGTAAGACTTGACCCGACCCGGCATGGTCCATTTGGGTTGCATGGCATCATGCATTTGGATAGACTATAATGAGAGAAATAACACTTAAGGTTGGTTAATATATTATAAGTTCTAATATATTAATAAGGTTATTTAATTAGTATTGATCAAGAATTAATTTGGAATTAATTAAGTGATCAAAAGGAGACTAATTAAATATATGGGTTGATTGTGTAATTCATTCATTCTTATATATGTGGGCTTGTGATCCAAGATTCCTTATGTTGGACTAAGTCCATGGGGTGACCCATGGATACTCCATGGAGGTTAAAATCCATGGAGCATAAGGAATGGGTAAAGTTATGAGTTACATGGTGTAACCCTAATAGCCACCATATAAAAGAATCCCATGGCTCAAGAAATCGTGCACTAATGTGTGAGTATGAGGGCTAGACGATTTCAAGGAGTGTTCAAGTTTCTCTCAAGTTATTCCAAGTGTATTTGGTGTTGTGTGAACCATTTGAGGTGTCACACTTGGGGCACTAGGCACTCAAGCTTCATGAAGACATTCTACATCAAAGAGGTATGTATTCTATCTTGTTATATTTATTATTTTGTATGCTAGATTAGGATAATACCTTGGATGTTCATAATTGTATGTATAATAGAGAAAACATAGATCCAAGGTATTTAGGGTTGCATGTACACTTAGGAGTGTTAGAATGCTCATAACCCAACAAATGATCCTCCTACATCCTCCCCTCCATCCCTCTTTTACTAAATCAAAACATATGTACATCTTGTTGAAGTAATTCTTACCATCATGCATTGCATAAACACAAATTTTAATTGTGGATACATGATTTGATTTTTAATCTCCTCACCATATGACCATATTCTTGCATAATTTTTTTGCTACTGTGCCTTCAGCTAGAGTCAATGCATACTTCTTGGCTCTCCTATAGTGACTCATACTGACATCAATGCCAAAAGTGGGTTTTACCTCCTCTCTAAGTAATCAGACACTCATCTTTTGATTGTTATAAAATTGTTACTTAAAGTGGGTCCCTATCCATTTGTAAGTCATAATTGATTCGAATTTGAAATTCTTTGCACAATTATGCTCACCAATAAGAGACTTGATCTGGAAAGACTTATCATCACTCATCCAAGAACCCCAAACCCTAAATGTACATTTTCCATCACAACATTTGGCAAGCAATCGTCTACTATCATTCTTAACAAAACATAATTGATAACCATTTGCAACAACATAGTTAGAAAGCATGTGTTTCAATTGTTTAGGACTCTCAAACCTCATACCTAACACATGTTCCTGCTCCTTCCAATTGACCTTATCATTGAAAATGTTTGGCAACTCGGGATAAACATCTTCATTGTCACCCATGTCTTCTTCCAAAGGCTCACCTACACCTACATTCTCACCCATGTCTAACTGAAGCTCATTATCCTTTTTGAAAAAAATGAGGGTTCTCATGGTCATCCTCATCGTCATCGGCATCCTCATGGCCATTGTCTTCCTCATCGTCAACCTCATCGCCATTGTCTTCCTCATCGTCAACCTCATCCACATCCCAATGTCATGCTGCAACTTCCTTAATCAGTCATGCACCATCAAGTACCTCTTCCTTTATGTTACCAACAACCTCGCCTTTGTGTTCATCCAACCATTCCTGCATGTTACTATTCCCAAAATGGTCTACATACATAGGGAGTATAACACCATATTCATATGCAATTGCTATAAAGTCGAAATAATCCGGGTCATTGCTAATTAAAGGCAAACCTTTTGGAAAATCAATATCAGGTTGGCAGTAATAGAGCTTCTCACACTTTTCCCCAGTGAACCTTTCGATGAACGCATAGCACCCGTCCTTGTGCATGCATGCGAAATCGACGTCCGAAAACCTCTGAGTAATTACGCCGGTGTAGCGTATGGGGTATTTAGCGAATATTCCTTGGAAGTACACATCTACTTGTAAGAATACGGGTTCCATGTTTGAGGTTTCAAAAACAGAAAACAACAAATGGTTTATCGATGAAGTGATGAACAATGTAGGTCAAAAGGGCTCTTTTATAAAACATATACCGCCAGTAAGAAGGAAACGACTAATTAATGACATGCACGGACACAGTCAACATCCTATGTGGTGTTACTAGAGGGAGGTGGACTAAAAGTAACCGGCTGACCCCTTCACAAATGAAATAATGACTTAATCGACCCGACAAAGTGTAATTTCAACTTGATCAACATAGGAAGATAACCTACTAAACTAGCATTCTTTTATTTGAAATTGGGGGAGACTGCCTCCAATGATATAACGGTTGATCCCCCCATGGTTTCAATGGGCATCAAATTGTAGATGAAAACAAGATTTCAAGCAAACTACAAAAATGTCGTCATCAAAGGACATGGATTTCCGAGTGCGACCATTATATTTCTACTATTTCTATGATTACTACCTTAATTATAAGCTTTACAATTGTTGGGTTTCAAACACTTATAGGTGCTACACTTTTTTAATAAAAAGCAACAATCTTTTATTTGACAACAAACTACCAACGTTCGGGTCATATTCATGTGTTAATTTGACGTTTTTTTTTTTTTTTTTTCGACGGCTTGACTGAAAGAGTTCCTTCGGCTGAAATGTAGGATCCCAATTAACAAACCTAAAAGAAAACCTACAACGACTCCAATATTATAGCCACAAGTTCACTCTCTTCAAAAATAGGTAATCCAATGCGAAGTTACGCTTAGAACCCCCACAGTCGTCCTCTACATAATCCCACTTTTCAATAATCATACAACTAGAAGAAACAAAATGGAAAGCGGCCGTCATTCTTCGGCCGCCATGGAGGAACCAAAAACACCCACGAGAAAGAAAGGTGGCTGGAAATCCATCAAATACATTCTTGGTAACTGCTGTTTCATGTTAGTTTGATGCTATCAATTATTATTTGACGAAAACATAGTTTGAACAATTAATTTACAGTTGCTGTTGAACAGGTAACGAGTCGTTTGAAAAACTGGCATCGATTAGTTTGATTATGAACATGACAGTTTATTTACGATCAAATTACAACATGAATGGCATTTTCCTTATAAATGTGGTTACCATTTGGATGGGTACCTCTAATCTTTCAACGTTGGCCGGTGCTTTCATCTCCGACGCCTATATCGGCAGATTCCTCACTCTTTTTCTCGGATCCATAGTGTCTCTTTTGGTATGTAATAGATCACAACCCTAAAACACAACAAAAGTTCACTTAGGGTTTAACTTTCTAACATGGTTTTAATTAATCAAACTTGTTACTTAATTAAACAGGGTATGGGTATGATGACGTTGACTGCAGGTGTGCCGCATCTAAGACCACCTAAGTGCACCGACGGGATTAACTGCGTGCAGCCGGAAAACTGGCAGCTAGCGTTTCTCTTCGCTGGACTCGGCCTCTTAGCCCTAGGAGCCGGCGGTTTAAGGCCGTGTGGTATTGCTTTTGGCGCCGATCAGTTTGACACCACCACCTCTAAAGGAAAGAAACAGCTTGAAAGCTTCTTCAATCTGTGGTACTTATCATTCACTTTAGCTCTCCTCCTAGCTCTCACCGGAGTTGTCTACATCCAAACGAACATCAGCTGGGTGATCGGATTTGCAGTTCCGACAGCCTGCTTGTTGTCCTCCTTCATCATTTTCTTGATCGGCCGGCATACTTACGTCATGAAGAAACCAGTTGGGAGTGTTTTATCTGATATCGTCAAAGTGATTGTTGCTTCAATACGGAAACGTAAAATACCATATGATGATGAATTAAGATACTCGTGGTATCAAGAAGAATCGGGGTCAAAAGAACATAATCTTGCACGAACCCAAAGATTCAAATGCTTAGATAAAGCAGCCATGATCGTTGACTCGAGTGAATTGAATTCTACTGGAGTGGCTAAAAATAAGTGGAGATTGTGCAACGTACAACAAGTGGAGAACTTGAAATGTGTCGTTGGAATCTTGCCCATTTGGGTGTCGGGTATCGGGTGTATGCTTGTGAATGATCAACAAACCACATTTGGGATCCTGCAAGCCATCCAAATGAACAGAACAATCGGATCCAAGTTCATGATCCCACCGGGTTGGATGACTGAGATCTCGATGATCACTTTATCAATATGGATCTTCGTTTACGAAGGGATTTATATCCCTAAACTTACCAAGTTCTTCAAAAGGGATGCAAGATTAACAATGGCCATGAGATTTCGTATTGGGATCATTATGTCGATTCTTTGTATGGTAACAGCCGGGATAATAGAAAGAAAACGCCGTGATTCAGCCTTAAACAGCAAGACCTACGTTGCACCACTACATATATCGTGGTTGATCCCTCAGTTAGTTCTTTCGGGATTGATGGAAGCGTTTGATAATGTGGCGATGATGGAGTTTTTCACCACTCGTATGCCGGAAAGTATGAGGACTATCGCGGGTGCCATCTTTTTCATCACTTTATCGATCTCCAGCTATTTAAATACGCTGATCGTTAATATAATCCACAAACTAACAGGGATGAACGGAAGAACACCATGGTTAGGTAGTCATGATCTTAACAACAACAGGCTAGATTATTACTACTATATTATTGCTGGTTTTGGAGTTTTGAATTTGATTTATTTCACATTCGTTGGTTCCAAACATGTGGCTCCGGCGAAAGTAATTGGGGTGGAGGAAGAGCTGCCGCAGGTTGAAGACGGTGGCCGTGGCAAGAATGCTCTCGGGGGCTACCACGAAGTATGAAGAAAGTAAGAGCCTGGTGTAAATTTGATGTTCACATTATTCTTGGGTCGGAAAGATATGTGTAATCTGCGTTTGAAATTGAAGGTTGTTTATGATGATCAAGGATTACATTATGAATTATATAAAATTTAATTTGACATGGTCGATAATACTTCAGATACAAACAAAAAAGTGAATAATGTATATTGAATTGGACTAGATGTGCAAATATGACTATTGATAAATGTACTGTGGAACAGATTAAAATTTATAAGGCTTGTGGTTAAGTTATTAGATGTTATTTCACCTCATAATTCTAGTCATATATTGTGTTATAATAACAAGTATAGAAATAATAACTATGTAAATAGGTAATAATATGTTATAACATTCCTTATTTTCTATTTTTTTTTATATTTTTTTTCTGATTTTCTAATTTCTATTTTTCCAATTGTTTTTTTTTATGTCATAATAATATTAATAAAAACATATAAATTAACAACACATATAATTTAATTAAGTCCTAAAGTTAAAAATAACATTATTAAAAACGAAATTACAAAAAACAAAAATTGAACGGAAAAAATACGATAATCCTAAATTAAAAAAAACATAACTAGTCCTTGCCCAAATATTTCTTCTCGACCATTTCCTTCATCTTTCGGAGCACTTGCACTTGTCTCGATACCATATTTTCCTCGCTTGTCTGAAAAAATTGTCAAATCGTTTGTCGTTCGATCTTCTTCCGCTTGCTAACAAAGGAACTCCAAATGCTCATGTTGTAATTCATATTTTTAATTGTGATTTCGTTGTGAGCGTCAAATTTCTCTTTCATTTTCACGTGCTCTTGAAGCCTACTTTCTCTTTCATCTGCATGTCGTTGAGCGCTTCGCTTTGTCACGCCTTATCGGTCGTCGTGATGGGGATAGCTCTTCAATGTCATTTGAGAGCTCATCAGTGTCGGCGTTAAGGTCGATGTTCGTTCGTGCGTCGGAAACGTCAACCGAACCCGAACCAAGAGACCTCTTTGATTGAACATCTGATGATGTTGGCGTCTTAAGCCATTTTGGGCCATTTCTCAAAATCTCCCAAATTTTATGGTACTAAAAAACGTGGCCCGTTTCGACAAGATATTGCTCCATAGCAGCTCTAAACACATCGAAGTCGTTCGCACCACTTTGCTTGTGCGAAAAAGTTTGTTGTAGATCAAATTAAACTTGGTACACTTCTTATTAAGTGTAGTCCACTTGCTACTAAGCATATCCTGATTGCAATATGCCTCCTCTTTGTTCAAAATTGTGCAAAATTTTACGATTGCGACTTCCTAAAATCCAAATCTCCTCATATCGTTTCCCATAGTTGGATGTTTTGATATCCCACACAACGCCACCACCAATGCGTGCTCCTCCTCTGGTGTCCATCATACCAAAGGTTCTTCGTCGTTTTTCTCGACTGCGACCACTTTCCTTTTCTTTTCCCTTCTCCCTCTAGGTTTTCGACTACCCCCCACTTGTGTCTCGGCAACCATATTTTGCATTTCTTATGTGGGTGGTGGTTGTGTGGTTGTTTGTGTGAGTGATGGTTGTGTGGTTGTTTGTGTGTGTGGTGGTTGTGTGGTTGTTTGTGGTGGTTGTGTGGTTGTTTGTGTGAGTGATGGTTGTGTGGTTGTTTGTGTGTGTGGTTGTGTGGTTGTTTGTGGTGGTTGTGTGGTTGTTTGTGTGAGTGATGGTTGTGTGGTTGTTTGTGTGTGTGGTGGTTGTGTGGTATGGAATGGACGCAAAGGTGTTGAAAATGTTTTGTTGAAGGTTAGGATTTGTTTGTGGAATGAAAAAGTTATCGGAAATGGTAGTTGCAGTGAGCTTTGTGAGTTGAGGAGGTTCACGTTGCTCTCGTATTGCGCGAAACCAAGCAGAATGGATGTGTTTGTGTTTGGAGGAGGAGTGTTCGGGTTTTAACCCATTGTTTGTATTGGATTAAGGTGTCTAAGCCATTAACTAAATTAGTATATTTTTGAATTGATAGCAAAGTCCTTTTTGGGTTGCTCTCATAACTAGTAACTGAATACAATGACTTTTGGAGAGAGATGATGATTTATTAACTTATTATATGATTAATAAATTAATTAGAAATCTAAATAAATAATTTATTAACATATTATACGATTAATATATTAATTAGAATTTATATTTATTAATTAAGAATTAATCAAAAATTAATTAGAATTAATTTTGTGATTAATTAGCTTAATTGAAAATATAGGGACTGAAGGTGACAATGTTTAAAAGCCGAGTATTGAAGAATTCCAGAACCTTCCCATAGGGGGGATGGTTTTGGAGGAGGCTTCCTAGAGTTTCTAGGAGCCTTAGGGAACAAGAAAAGGGATAAGGGTTATCTAAGGATATCTGTCTTATCCAAGCCTACTTACTCACCTATATAAACCCCTTAAGGGGTCATTATTTTTGTCCCATCCTTCCATCACACAAGAGCTAAAATTGCTCTCCTTTCTCCTCTCTCTCTCAAAGTATTCTAGTTGATAGGATTTTTGGTATAAACCATTAGAGGAATCCAAGCTTTTGGTGATTACTTTCCAAGGAAGTCAAAGGAGGTTTTACTTGATTAATTGCTACATTAATCAAAAGGTATGTAACCATAAACTCTTTTGTGATTTTCGATTAGTACTAGGATTTTCTAGGGTTTCTTGATATTCATAGTTAGTTGCCATCAATAGAGAAAACATAGATCCTTTCTAGGTTGCATGTGAACTTACGGGTTCTACCACATGAATTTTTTTTATAACCTAGAAAACCCAACAGTGGTATCAGATCCTTAGGTTTTCTATTTGATTGTGCACTAAATTGAATTGATCAAAATTAGGGTTTATGGAAATTAAACCCTAATAGCCTAAATTTCGACAATGGCTAGGGTTCTTGAAACCCTAGCCTCCACCCTTATTTTCGAAAATAAGAAGGATCCCTTAGGGTTTCTAGTTTCCTTAATTAAAAATGTAAATGCCTTAAAATTTGGATAATTAAAGCTTGGTAACCCTTACCCTTTTCTTGAAAATCAGAAGGTAAGGGATTATGATTAAATTTGAATCATTTAATTAATTGTTTATGTAACGTCCCGTAAATCCAAGGTAAAATTTTCATTTTAAAAACAATAAAACATACAACGAGTTGTTCTAAACCGATCAAAGTGAATATATTATTTAAACATTAGACTAATATCATTAATTGCCAATGCAGAAAACTCTGGGGGATGTTGTAGTCACGACGGGCCCTTCCCTTTTGAACCGAAAGTACATGAAACCATAAATATGAAACCGTAAGCACAAAGCTTAGTGAGTTCCCCAAAATACCACATACCATAACATACAAGTGCCATGGTGTGACGTCCCAAAAATATGATCCAAAAACTTGATTTCTGATTTAATTAAAACATTCTTCCAAAAACATCATTTATACAAACCAATGAAAACAAGTGTATCAACATCAAATCAATAAGTGTAATATCTCAAAAGCGGAATCCATGCGGTGTGTGCGATGAATTCATCCGGAGCGCTTCCCCTTGGAACCAGAAGTACCTGAAACAAAAACTGAAAACCGTAAGCACAAATCTTAGTGAGTTCCCCAAACTACCCCAAACCATACATAATAAATCATATTCTGGGCCCCCGCCTGGTATTGAGTCCCACTTGGTTTCGGGCCTCACCCGACTTCGAGCCCTGTTCGGTATACATATATGTTATTCTTAGGCCCCTCCTGACATCGGGCCCCGCCCACTATTCACATACGATATATCAGACATAATCATGCTAACACATACAATGATCATAAAACAATAGCATACGAGTCAGTCATCGGGCCTCGCCCGACATCGAGCCCCGCCCGATATACATAGCAGCACATAACACATGAAAGGGTCACATAGACTCCTAGCATCCTAACATAACAATAAGGGTAGGCATTGGTGCCTTAGAACCGCTAACCCAGTGGGGAAATCCACCTCAAATGCTGAATCTCACTGAAAATCTCTAGCAGCTGTCTTGATGAATCCCTGGGCTATCAATACAAAATAGCACCCAATTAACATTTGGTTACCAATCTATATCCAAAAAACCATACTTGGGGTAAAATAACCATTTTACCCATGACCTATTTTGAACCAAGACTAAGGCCCAAAACCAAATGATCATCCAAGGCCCACTTATGGCCTAATTTTCAAAATTGGGCCGAAACCCCATATATGGGCCTTACCCTAAAGCCTAATAATTTTCCTTAGTTCAAAAGCTTGATTTCAGATGGCCCATTAAGGCCCAAAGCAGCAAGGTCCAAAGAAGTGACTCAACCGAGGCCCAAAAGATGTGAAGCCCAACAGGCTGAGTACGCGGGGCGTACTCAGCTGTACGCTAAGCATATAGGCTAAACGGCTTGTACGCCCAACGTACTCACCCAATAAGTCCATTTCTACAATAAGAACTTAATGCTTTAGACCAAAAGCTCAAATCACATATCTGTAACACCCAAATTTTCAAAACAATTTTTCACATTTTATAAAACACATTTTCATTCATAATCGTTATAAAAACACCATTGGATCACATAGTCAATCATAACATCATATCCCAAGATCATAATAAAAATCTCCCCGTGTGTGTACTGATCAAGCCGGCGCCTTCCCGCGATCCTCGCTGGTACCTGAGACACATAACACAACACTGTAAGCATAAATGCTTAGTGAGTTCCCCAAAATACCACACACAACACATATTAGCCACTCGAGGCTATAACTCTGATGACCCTCTGGTCAAGGTGTCTCTGTGGGACCCTCCAGTCCCATAACTCTGTGGGCCCTCTGGCCCTAACTCTGTGGACCTTCCGGTCCTAACTCTGAAAACTCTGTAACATACATAGCATATAACACATAGAAATCACATCATGCAAAAGCATACAGCATACTCTGTCTCATAGCTCTAATTATCACTCTAGGTAAAGTATAGTGAGAAGACTCACCTCGGGTAA